CTCCCTATGCCCACACCCTATTCCAGGTGCCCGCCATCAGGCATGCATTCAGGACCGCAAGGATCCATCATCTGTCCTGATGGCGGGAGGGCAGAAAAGCCTGATATTTTCTTTACCCTACACTATGACACTGGAATTCATGTATGTATATGTAGTTTCCTTTACATATTTTATGCGTTGCATCATCTCATCAGAAATGATGGGACAATTGCATCTTGTTCTTTGAGGGCTTCATGGTTTTAATTGCCTATGGTCTGGGCCTCCCTGGCGGTTCAAGGAGTTAAGTCGCAGCACTATGAAGCTATCTGCAGCCACTGAAGCACATGTTCGCTACCTGGCCAGGTAGGTGGCCCACATGGCACAGCAGACCTCTCCTGTCTCACCTGCTGCTCCCCTCAGCAGCGTATTTCAGTAGAGCCACCTGTTCTGCTCCCTGCTCTGTCTCTTGTGAATCCTCTCACCCCCCACACCTCTGGTCTGTACCCCAGGTCTTGTATGCATCAATAAATAAATCTTCAAAAATTTGCCTGTGGTCCTGCAGGATCGTCCAGTCCACGTTAAAGGGCAGTGGTGACCGTGGACGTGCTCGCCTCGTGCCGCTCTAGGGCGAGCGTCTTCTTGGTTTCACCTTAGGTGTGACCTGAGCTGCAGGAGCCCCCTAGTTCCCTTTAACAACTGAGGATGCTGCCCTGGTGCCTCTTTCTCTGGGTTGTTCTCATGAATGGGGTTGACTTTTATAAATGTCTTTTCCATCTTGATTGATTGATAAAAATCATGTGATTTTCCTTCTCTAGCCTGTTCATTATGTAGATTATGGATGCTTTTCCATATGGAGCCATCTTGCCCCCAGTTGAAAACCCCATTTATCATCATGGGTACTTCTTGCCAAAGGTTACTGAATTCTATTTTCTGATTTTTCTTAAGAATTTTGTGTTTATATTTCTGAGTGTTTTTTAAAGATGTATTTATTTATACAAGCACTGGGTACAGTCAGAAGTGCAGGAGGGTGAGAGGATTCACCAGAGCCAGAGCGGGGTGCAGAACAGGCAGAAGGACCAAAGTACACTGCTGAGGGGAACAGCGGGCAGCAGGAGAGGTCTACGCACCATGTGGGACCCTCGCCCCGTGGCCAGGGATCGAACCGGTGCTGCAGAGGCTGAGGGCAGCTTTGCAACCCAGCGCTCAACTGCTGCCAGTGGGAGGCCCCTCTGAGTGGTGTTTTGTTGGTTTTTTTGTCCCTGGAATATTGATTCATTTCTTAACTCAGTACCTCTTGTAATATTTTGTAGCTTTTCAGGTACAAGCCTTTCATGCTTCTCATGTGAAGATTACTCAGGCTTTTGCACCTTTGACCTCTGTGGCTATGACCCCTGTCCTCATGCAGGAGGCACTTGGGAGCATGGGCTCTGGGTACTCATGCCTGATGGTGGACTCCTGTAGTATGTGTGGGCATGTGTAAGTAGACCCACCTGAGCCGAGAGACTGAGCATATAAGGGCGGCGTCACAGAGAATGGCTATGAGAGGAAGAGAGCACAAGCCGACAGCAGAGAGAGCGCAGAGGCCTGGCAGCCTCTCAACACCCCCACCCTCGGGCCTCCTGCCTGCCCTGTACCTGTTTGCCTCTAATAGTGTAGAAAGATCATTAAAAGCCTGAAAAAGCCACTGAGGGCTCCAGGACTCTCTTTTTCCTGTCTGCCTGGGTCAGCAGAGAACTTGCCCTATGCCGGCTTGCTACTACATCATGTTTACCTTAATATTCCTTATTACGCAGTTAAACTTACATTGATTGCTTTTTGTGTTTAAAGTGTTGGTGACTCATTTCTCATCTACAGACTTGATTGATTTCTGCTGCTGGTTTTGTTACCAGAGGCCCAGACTGAAGCATGTAGACCAGGAGCATCTGGGAATCACTCACAGTCTGATCGAGGCAATTCTGACATCTCCACAGAGGAATATTGATGCTGAAGCAGCTAGATTTGCCCTTGAGAACATCAACAGTGAGAGAATGTGTTAGCAGAGTCAAACTTTACAGAAGGAAAGGCTATGACATTGACACCTCTACTGGATCCAGGGAAATCAGGTGCTGGTAGAAGATCTGACAACAGAAGTCACACCTGAGCCACTGAGGTTGGGAGCCCAGGCCCAGATAAAAGGAGATTTTTGACTCACTTTCTCACGGGGCTGAGATGCTGGGGAGGCACATTTCTGTCCTGCCATGTGCTTCAGGAACAGTCAGCCTCATCTTGGGGCTGGAGCCAAGACATGAGCAGAGCCCTGCATTGGCCGAGGCATCAGAGTAGGGACAGGGCACCCAGATCCTGAGAGCTGTGTTGAGTGTCAGTAGACAGGAGAAAGGAAGGTTCCCTGCCTCCTGCTGGTGCAGCATAAACATCTGCCAAACTGATGTCACTTCTAAGGATGAGATGAGTCTGGCTGATGCTCTCATTGAACAGGAGGGAGGGCTGAGTGAGCACAAGCTGGGAGAGGGAAACTGCAAACACACATTTATGGATGAGAGAGCAGGGCCCAGTCCCTTCCTGAACCCTGGTGGTGGAGCTCAGTTCACACCCCACACTGAGGAGAGGGTTTGCTTCACCCCTTGGAAGAACCCTGGGAGGAAGCACCTGCTGACATCAACAAAGGTCCCTGCTCAGGGGACTGTGTCAGGCCAGAGAGCAGCTGCTGTGTCTCCATCAGGAAGTCCCAGCACAAGCCCAGGCCCAGGCCCAGGCCCAGGCCCAGGCCCAGGCTCCTCTTAGAGAACAGACCTCATTATTCAGCTGTGGATGGTACCACTCTGCCCCCTGCTGGTTACAGGATGCACACTCACCAAGGACCAAAAACCTGAGAGCATGATTTTTTGCTGCAGCTCACAGATTGCCTGCTCTACTCACACCCATGCCCTAACTCATACACAGTGTGGCCCTAGAGTGCTGCACATAGTTATGCTGATTTCTCTCTCTCTCACAGAGTTTTGATCTGCAGGAGGTTAAAAAAAAAAACCCTCAGTGGCATGAATAATAACTGAAGGGTTTTTTTGTTTTGTTTTGTTTTTTAAAAGATTTTATTTATTCATTTATACAAGAACCAGAGTACAGGCCAGATGCATGGGAGGGTGAGAGGATTCACCAGAGGCAGAGTGGGGAACAGAAGAGGCAGACTGACAAAATACACTGCTGAGGGGAGCAGCGGGCATGACAGGAGGTGTGCCACGCCATGTAGGACCCTCGCCAGCTGGCCTGAATCAAACCTGTGCTGCAGAGGCTGCGGAGAGCTTCACAGTGCAGCGCTCAATGGCCTGCACCACTAGGAGAGGCCCAAGAACTGAAGTTTTTTATCCCCAGAAAATAATACAGTGTTAAGATGGCATATCTTCATTAGTATATATTTTAGGTATGCATAAGAGGTTATTTTTCAAAGTATTATGCGTTCAAATAGGAATCTCTGATCAGTGTTACATAAATTTATTTGCCTTTTAAATGTACCATTTTGCAGCAAAATAAAATGCTCCACATCGTCACCTAGTGGTTACCTGTGGAGATAATGAAAAAAAATCTAAGAGCTGCTCTAATCAAGAGGTGCATAGGAAGTATGCTTCCATAGAGACAAAATAGAAAACTCCTATTTCATTTGAAAGAGCAGGAAATATTATTATGGAACAATTCCACCGAAGGGCATAATTTCACAGGACACAGTAACAAAACCTAAGGGATCACATTGGTCCAATTTATTTTTTCATAGGTGGTGTTCCCATAACGTAAAAATCAAAATTCTTTTGTAAGAAATTATAACAGTGATAACTATGCCTGACCAATAAGTTATACAGACAAGCAGTATTAATAGACTGCTATCTTTCATTATGGATGTAACTGGTTTAATACAAATATTAGAAGAGATTTCCATAGCAGATTAATTAATTGATGTGCCATCATATGTATAATTTATTCCAGTGATACAGAGACTCATAAACAGGGAGACTCAGCATAATGCCTGCAATGTGGCTCCTCACCAATAAGGAGAAATATCCAAATATCTGAAAGGTTGATGCAGGGGCCAGGAATGAGGAAGCCCACATAGAAAAAAACAGGATGGCCCTGACACCAGTACCACTGATACCATCAAACCAAAACTGAAGCCATAAACAGGAGAAAAACAACTCGGCTCCATGAAAAACAACTTTGTTCCACCTAAACCTGCCCTCCCCCACCCCCGACAACGGGTGCGACTTCACTGACCCCCCACCTTGGGTCTGTGAATCTCACCCGGGGGCGCGATAAAGTTTCCCTACCTGTGAGAAACTTGGCCTGGCTCTCCTCTTTACCACGCCAATCCTTTCAATATTGTCCTAGAACCATTGCCTAATCTCTGAGAAGGTCCTTGTTTTCCCTCATAGAGGATGAGGAACTTTTCTCTAAACCCGTATGTGAGAGTGGGTGAGAGCCAAGGCCTAGAGGAGAGAGATGTGGGCCTGAGTATCCCCCACAGCAATTGTAGCCTCTCTCCAGTGCTCCCCCTCCCCAGCTCTAACCTTGTCCTGACTTCACACTGAAGGTCGGGCACCTATGGGGTAGCAGCTCTGGGCTGGGGTTCCTCCCTGTCCTGAGTCCTCACCTAGCTTCTCCAAGCTCATGACTCAAACCTGGACAATGTGTCAGCAGCTCTGAGCACTCAGCTGGGGGGCCTAGGGGTTCTGCTCTGAGCCCAAGGCAGCAGTGTCCTTGTGTGGGGACCCTCACCTGCCCTGACCAAAACAGTTGGACAGGCTGAGGCCTATTTCAGGAGGGAAAAGTAACAGAAAAGATCAATTTGTTCTGAGTGTGAAAACTTTGGTCATGAGGCAAAGTTCTATAATATATCAGATGTTTGGTTTTTGTTTCCTAAGCATCAGACACACTGAATAGAAAATTGGGAGGATGGACATTGTGATCTGGAAGCTCCTGTAAGTACAATGAGTGTGTATTCAGCTAATTTTGAATTGCAAAGAGTCAAGGTCCTGACCCTAAGCAGGTTGAGGCTTCTGTCCTGCTCCCCATTTGTGTGTGTCACAGGGAGAAGCACTGCTGTATCCAATCTTACAGTAGTAGTTGGCCTCGTCCACAGGCTGTGGCCCTGAGATGAGCAAGAGCCCTGCACTGGCTGAGGCATCTTGGGCCCCAGAGAAGTGGCTGGGGACCCCAGGGCCCTGGTGTTTAGTTGAGTCTGAGTAGTAGTACAGGAGGTACCAGAGAGGGCTCCCTGGTTTCTGCTGGTACCAGTATATGGCATAGCTGCCAACACTGAATCCACTGCTCAGGGTGCAGGTGAGTCTGGCTGTTGCTCCAGGAGAAGCAGAGAGGGCGGGCGGCTGAGTCAGCACAGGCTGGGAGAGGGAACCTGCAAACAGACACATCAGAATGAACTGGGCAAACATGGTGCAGCTGCTGGTATAGCTGAAGTACAAGAAATTGATTCAGTCTATGGACGCCAGAGTGTCTGAGGCCTGTCCCCACCTGTGCAGTGAGAGAGGAGCAGGAGGAACAGAGGAGTCCAGGCCATGGTGCTCACACTTCTCTGAGCCCACATGGGGCTGGGCTGCCCCTGGGCTCCTTTTCTCCTCCACCCTCTGCCACAGGAGGGGCTGTGCATGCAAATGTGTTTCAAGCTGTGCTGCCCATCCCCATTCTGAGCCCTGGTGCTGGAACTGAGCTCATAGTTAACACAGAAGAAGAGGGAAGATTGCTTCACCCCTTGGGAGAGCCCGGGGTTAGGAGCATCTGCAAATTACACACAATGGTCTCCATTCAGGGGTTTGTTTTAGGCCAGAGAAGATACAGCTGCTTAGGCTCCATTAGGGAATCCAGGACCCAATACCCAAGTCCAAGTGCCTTTGAGTGAATAGTCCAACTGAGCCTTTGTGTAGGGCCTGCTGGGCTGTACCATAGCTGCCCTACTAGTATTAGGGTACATACTCACCATGGCCCAAAGCCCTGATGGTCCAGCTGGTGACTGAGCCACCTGGTCACTGTCTCTGATCACACACTGTTGCTCTCATTCCTAGCTATGTGTGTTTGATACACTGTGCTAGAGATCTGTAGTTTTCACTTGTACATATGCCATGGTTCATGGATGGTACAAAACCACATGTATAAATCTACTTACGTTTACTGCTCCTCGGTGCATATTCTAGAAAAGGTCAGTGATCCCTGGGTTCATCAAGACAGTACTAAGAGACAAGAGGACAGTTTGGCTGGTGTGAAAACTTTGTAAATCCTGATTAGGGTTTGAAATGGGAGTTGTCATAGTGAAAATAGGAAAATCGGGCCTCCCCGGTGGCGCAGCGGTTGAGCGCTGGGTTGCGAAGCTGCCCGCAGCCTCTGCAGCACCGGTTCGATCCCCGGCTGCTCCCCGGCCACCAGAGGAGGGTCCCACATGGCGCACAGACCTCTCCTGCCGCCCGCTGCTCCCCTCAGCAGTGTACTTCGTCCTTCTGCCTGTTCTGCTCCCCACTGTGGCTCTGGTGAATTCTCTCACCCTCCTGCGCTTCTGACTGTACCCAGTGCTTGTATAAATCAATAAATAAATCTTAAAAAAAAAATAGGAAAATTCAGGAACTGTATGAAAAGTCCAGAAGTTTCCAGCACTTTAATAGAGATTACACTAATTTATGAAAAATGAATTGTTTACCAGAATGGTGAGAATGGTGTTCCATATGCCTTTATCCATGAAGTGAGCAATCATCCCGAGATTTTAATGTCTTTTCTCCATAGTGGTGTCATTTATTTCTTGTCAGGATTCTGTTTTAGCAGTCATTTTTTTTAAAATTGCGTGCAAGTTCGACAGAGTATAAGGGAAAGTACACATTGGAAAAAAAAAACATGTTTGCTAACATTTCATGTGATATAGATTATTATACAGATACATAAGGAACTCATACAACTCAATAAAAATAATCAATTAAAAAATAAACAAAACCCCTGCATAATGAAGACATGCATAGTGGCCACCAGATATAAACAAATAGGATTTCGACATCACTGATCCTTAGGGAAATGCAAATCAAAACAACATTGAGATCTCACCTCACACCTGTTCACATGGCTCCTATAAAAGAGACAGGAGATAACAAGCACTGTTGAGGAGTGGGGAGGCAGGGCCTGATACCCAGCCAGTGGGCATTTCATTTGACTAAGTCATCATAAGAAAAATTACAGATTCTCCTCCAATGGGGAAGAAAATAGAACCAACATGTCATCCAGAACCATTTTTGGAGGGACATCATAAAGGCGGTGGGATCCGTACCTTGAATGGAGGAGGTATTTGTATCCCGTTGGTCCACAAAGGCCAAACTACAGAAGCACCTACGTGTCTGACAATGGACGAGTGGATGGAGATCACACGCATAAGCGAGGCATCATTTCCCGTGCTCAGGTATATCTAAGTAGCATTCTGTGTAGCTTAAAATATGTAATTTTATTAAAATTAATAAACAAATGTGATGAATTTCTATAAACATTGAATTAAAGAACTAGCAATGGGAGGGAAAACAAAATCTCAATGTTTAAGGTATATTACTACTATCAGTAAAGTTTATTCATCCTGGAAAATGTGTCAGCATTGGGGAGCTCATGGGGGCAAAGTTTTGCATTGTCTCTTTTCCTCACCTATGTTTGTCACTCTGCTCAGCACCATCTTCACAATGACCAGCTCTGCCCTCAGGCGGCAGCCCAGGAGTGAGTGGCTACTATACAGTGGCCCATCATCCCCTGGGGCCCAGGTTCCTGCTGTATGTCTCAGTCCCTGGCTTTGCTGGTGTCAGGAAATCCTGCAGCGTCTAACACTGAAGCCTCTGCTCAAGTGAGTCTGGCTGTTACTCCCAGGAGTGCTCAGAAGAAGGTTGGCTGAGGCAACCCAGGCTGGGAGAGGGAATCTGGTCACAGAGACCCCTCAGAAAGAGAATCAGGACCAGGATGCAGCTGCTGGGTGATGTGAGCAAAAAGAAAGTGACTGGGGTGAAGGATCGCCCTGGGTCTCTGAGTTCTGTTCGGTCCTGTGCAGTGACAGAGGAGCAGAAGGTGGGGGGTCCAGGCCTTGGTGCTCACAGGCCCTTTTAGGCCACAGAGCTGGAGGTGGGTTGCCCCAGGCCTCTCTTATCCTCTCCCCACAGAAATCTCAGAACGGGAGCTGCTCATGCAAATGTGTGGCACCCTCTGTCTCTCCCCAGTGTACGTGAACTCCCTGAGGTCCTTGGACAGGGAAGAGGAGATGATGCACTAGTTTTCCCCATGAATGGGCCTGGGAGGAAGTAACTGCTGGGTCCACACACAGACTCATGTCTAGGGGACTCAGTCAGGCCCAGAGAGGACACATCTGCAGGGCCCTCCTGAGATGCCAAGAGTCCTGCTCTCAGTGGAGGGCTGCCCAGCCAGGAGCCTCTGTCCTGCAGGAAGCTTCAGGTATGGCCCCCTGCTGCCCGATGCTGGTCGACAGGAGAACCTTCCTTCCTTCACTGCTTCCAAATCTACCAGTTTCCTGTGTTTCCATCGTGTGAGAGTGACCTATCCAGAAAAGGAAGGGGGTATTCTTATAGTGTACCCTCACTGTCTCTGCCCTTCCAGGGGTGTTCCACTAGAGGGGAGAATATCCTGGGAGACGCTAGGAACCACTTCGGAACTAGGACATGCTGCCTGGAACAGAGGGATCTGTCCATAAGGCAGCTCAGAGGAGGCAGCTTTGCTCTGGTTCAGAGTGAACAGGACTCCGCCAGAAGAAATGATCCAGAGGAGGATACAGAACAAGCAGACACTGGTCCTTACCAGAGCAGACTTGAGAGGAGATACCCCGACCCTAGGGATGCCAGGGCCTGAGGACTGAGAGGGGGCAGGTTACAACAGGGAGCCTGTGGGCTTCCATGTCTGGAGAAATCTCTATACATCCCCATGCTGCACACGGGAAAGAGCTCTGCTGGAAAGTTCTAGGACAGAACTTGCACAGAGACCCCTGGCAAGAGGATTTTGGGGGATGCCTGGAGGAAGATGACTCAGACACGGGAAACAGTGAATCCTCATGCCTCATGGGGAGACGGGGAGTTCCCACAGTCTGTGGGTTAAATTGCTGGTGTCCTATAGGTTTTCCATAAAATTTTAAGATCAATTCTGTAGATAGTTACTTGATGTCCTTAATCAGTCTCATCCACCTATATTATAGTTGCACACCTGAACAATGAGACAATATCATTATTCAGGAAATCCCCACAGGACAGAAGCACCTGCAGAGATTATTAGCACAGTATCTGTTCTCAAGTTCACTAGCCCACCTAGGTTCTTAGCAGCTTTCTGATGTGCTGTAGAAGATCGTCTGTTCATTTAAGACCATAATTTAGGCAGCACAGTCTTGTTTTTTGGGAACAAAGAACAGCTCCTCCTCTCTCACCCTACTTTCCACCAAAGTCCATGCATGACCATCCCCTTTTATTCCTGTCAGATCCATTCCTCATGGGGTGTGTGGGTAACAGGGACAGTAACAGGGACATGGTATTGACAAGAGGCTGTTCTTCATCTTCTGCTGCTCTAGACCCACCTGTCACCGCTGCTGTCCCAGCTGACCCTGAGGCCCTGGAACTGAATGGTGGATCCCCATGATGGAGCTGAGGGCAGGGTGTGAAAGGGCAGGATGGGAGGGAGAGATGAGCACAGAGGGTGAGGAATGAGATCCCCAGAGATAAGAAGGGCAGGACTGGAGGGACTGACTTATGGTAAGTGACACGTAAAGTGAGTGTCACACACTTCTCTGGTCCAGGAAGGACACTTGAATCAGAAGGTGACTGCCGCAGACCAGCCTCGGCAAAATGTCATGTCAGGGGTTCCCGAAAGGATGAGACGGCCTAGGCGACACATTATGGGGCTGAGGGGAAGGGGATGAGGTAGTGAGGAGACACTGACACTGGAGGAGGTGCAAGTATCTTCTGCCAAGAGACCTAGCAGGTCTTTATTTATTCATTTTTAGCAAGCAGAGAAATTACATCATCATGTGCAAAGCAGAAACAATTAGTGTATTTTATTCCCATGGACTACTGGTTCCTACGGGTCTCAGCTAGACGGTAGCCTTCAAGGTTAATAGGTAAAAAACTAAGCCTTACACTAAAACTTATTATTTCAGCTAGACAATTACCTAAGACAGTTGATAGCCGCCAGTACATTCCTATCAGCTAAAGCCTAAGCATCAAAAGATTTTTTTATTCATATGGCCTTCAGCCGGAGACCAGCTGCTTCTCATTTAAAAACTTTCCTAAGAAACTTCTAAAAAAGCAAAAGAAGGACTTACTATAATTGTTGTGCTGGATTGCTAGTCGGCATGTTCAATAAATTGTCCTCTATTGTCAAGTGGGCCAAATTGTTTAATAACTAATTTCTAAACAGATAATTTTCCATGCCATTTGCTTGCAGTATGCTGATATGTATAATTTATTGCTTAATGTACTTTTTGACAATTTTTTCTCTTTTTATGACCAAGAACAAAAAACAAAGGGATGTTAGATCTTCAGCCCCACGGCATGAGGC